GTACAAAATAAAATTTTCTATGACTCATCACCCAGAGATAACTATTGTTAAAACCAATTTGGTACATTTCCCTGCAGTCTTTTTTTTAAATGTATACATATAGATACATTTTCATAGAGTTGCGATCCTACAGTAAAACTTTACTCATAAGCCTTTAACATGTCGTTTAAATGTTGGATAATATTCTATCATATATATCATAATTTATTCACTTTATTCTTGACTGCTCACATTGGGTTGTTGCAAACATCCCTTATGCATAAATCTTTACATTTCTGGTCATTTTCTTAGAAACAAAAGGTAAAAGAAAATTTATTAAGTCAAAGGCTAAGCGTTTGATGCATATTGCAAAATTATCTACCAAAACTTTGTACCAATTTATGTTCTATTGTGGCTTTTTTTGGTTTTGTTTTTGTGGTACTGGGAGTTGAACTCAGGGCCTTGTGCTTGCTAAGCAGCACTCTACCACTTGAACCACTCCATCAGCCCTTTTTAATTTTAGCTAAGTAAAAAATACTTTTGGAATAGGGCCTCACATTTTTCCCAGGTAGTACTGGACCGCATTCTTCCTATTTATGTTTCCCGCCTCACTGGGATGACAGACACACGCCACCAGGCTTGGTTGAGATGGAACCTTGCTGACTTTTTATCTGAGTTGGCCTTGAACTGTGATCCTCCTAATCTCCACCTCCCAGGTAGCTGGGATTACCTGCATGAGCCACCATGCCAGGCTCTATCATGTTTTGAGGAGACAAGGTTTTCAAAAACTGCTAATTTGCTGGGAGAAAATTTCTCCTTATGCTTTATTTATTGTTTTTCATATCTTTTCATAAAATTATCCTGTTCTATACATCTGATTTATAAATGTGTATTTATTGGTGTCACTTGGTTAATGAGTAATATGCTTTAATATAGGCAATTATAAGGGAATCCTGTAAGCTTCATGAGGCAAGAGACTGATTTTTTGTTTGCTACTAGTCCAGTGCCTGCCCCCATGCCAGATGTTCAGAAAATATTTATTGAATAAATAGATGAATGAATGAAGTCACAGTGAGGTTAACACATTTTTATTGAATAGTCAAAAGAGAGAAAACAGTAAAACTCTGATCTGAAGAAAAGGAAATAGAACCATAAAACCAATAGAGAAAGCTACAAGTTGTTTTGTTTTGTTTTTTTTTAGATCAATAAAATTGCCAAACTTCTAATCAGACTAGCTAGGGAGGAAAAAAGAAAGAATACACAAAGTACCAGTATCAGGAATGAGAAAGTGGACATCACTATAGACCCTACAGCCATTGAAAGGAATATAATGAACCATTTTAGGCTAATAACTTCAACAACTTAAATTAAATGGACAGATTCCTTGAAAGATGCAAACTACCAAAGTTTATTCAAGAATAAATAATCTGAACAAGCCTTTACCTATTAAAATAAACTGAATTTGTGTTTTAAACCTTCCCACAATTAAAACTCCAGATCTAGTTGGCTTAGCTGGTGAAATGTGCCAGACATTTAAGGAATAGCTAATACGAATTCTACACAAATTCTTCCTGAAAACTGAAGATAAGGGAACACGTTTCAACTTATTCTCTGAGGCCTTGTTACTCTGATACTCAAACCAGAATAAGACATAAGAAAAATCTATATGCAAGTATCCCTCAAGAAATACATAGAAAAGTCCTGTAAGTATTAATACCAATCAAATCCCCTAATATATAAAGAGGACAGTGCATTATGACCAAATGGGATTTATCCCAGGAAGTTGAGATTGGCTTAACGTTCAAAAGTCAGTCAATTCAGGTTACCACATTAACGTACTAAAAGCAAAAGGCATATGAGCTATCTCAACAGATGCAGAAAAAGCACTGAACAAGAACTGACATTCATTTGTAGTTAAAAAACCCAACTTTCCACAAACTAGAAATGATGGTAACTGCCTCAATCTGATAAAGTTTTCAGCTAACATTATGCTTAATGATGAAAGATTGAGTTCTTTATAGGATCCAGGAACAAAAGAGAATATACACTCTCACCACTTCTATTTAACATTGTACTTGAGGTTCTACCACGGCAACAAAAAAAAGAAAAAGAAAAGAAACAGATAGCACATGGATCGGAAAGGAATAAATTTAAACCATTTTTATTAACAGCCATCATTATCATCTATGCAGAAAATTCAATGGAATCTACAAAAAAACTACTAGAACTATTAAGTGAATTTAACAAGGTTGTGGAATATAAGATCAATATACAAAATAAACTATTTTATGTACTTTCAGTTGACAATCAAGGTTTGAAATTTGAAAATAATACCCTTCAGTATCATAAAATCTGTAATGCTTATGGACAAATTTGACAAAAGATGTAAAAGACCAGTACACTAAAAACTGCAAAATATTGCCATGGGAAATTAAATAAACTTAATTAAGTAGATATTCCATGTTCATGGATCAGAAGAGTCAATATTGTTAAATGTCAGGCCTTTCCAAATCAATCTATAGATTTAAGGCAATTTGTTTTGGTGGAACTGGGGTTTGAACTTGGGCTTCACACTTGCTAGGCAGCTGCTCTACTACTTGAACCACTCCACCAGTCCTTTTGTGTTAGGTGTTTCTGAGATAGAGTCTTGTTTTCATTTTTCCCAAGCTGGCCTCAAACTTCGAGCCTCCTGATCTTTGCCTCCCGAGCAGCTATGATTACAGGAGTGAGCCAGTGGTGCCCGGCTAGACTTAACAATTTGTATAATAATCACAGCAGTCTTTTTGTAGAAATTGACAAACTGATTCTAAAATATACTAAGAAATACTAGAAATATTGAGGACTAAAATGTTCAAATTAACTGAAAGACAGCTTTCTTTGAAGAACTTAAACTGCTTGATTTTAAGACTAATTGTGAAGCAATAATAATGAAGACAGTGTAGTACTCCGTACACAGACAATGAAACAGAACAGAGTCCAGAAATTTCACATATATGCCAAAATGATTTTCAACAAAGGTGCCAAAGCAATTCAATGGGGAAAGGTTAATATCTTCAAGAAATAATGATAAGTATTTTGATTGTGGTTATGGTTTCATGGGAGTACACATTATGTCAAAACTCAATAAGTTATTAATCTTAATATGTACAGTTTTTGTCAATTATACTTCCAAAAAAGCCGCAAATCAAGTAGGAAAGACTCCATTATTGAAAAGTGTCTGTATTATAAAACCCAAAAGAGCCTGTTGGCCATGTTGTAGACCCTCACTGTCAATCATGATGATGGAAGTCATCACACAGCAGGGCTGTCAGGAGTCAGGTATGACTGTGGAGCCCTTGGGATGTGGTCAGTACAATGAGGAACTGGAGTTTTAATTTAAGTTTAATTTGAAGAACCATATTAGGCAACACAGTTCTAGGTTAGATGAGACCTAACCAGACATGAAAACTAGATACTATCTCTGAACCTAGACTGATGTCTATACTGGAAGGTAAAAAGTGCTATGAAGAATCATGCCTGTGACCCAGAACCTAAGAGGCTGGGACAGGGGGATCACGAGGTCAAGGCCAGCTTGGGCAATTGAGACCCTGTCTCAAAAAAAAGAAAGAAAAGAAAAGAATATCATTAGGTCAACTGGCAAGATAGGAATGTGGATGATAGATTAAATAAAATTAGCATATCAGTGTCAATTTATGAAGTTGTAACTGCACAGTTATAACTCTTCTTAGGAGGCACAAGCTGCATTTAAGGGAAAAGGACCTGCATGGATACAACTCACCATTTAACAAATAGCTGAAAGAGTTTACAAATAAAAAAGCTTTTTCAATGCCTCTATATGTGACTATGGTATTATTGTCATTTTTCTTTTTAAAAAAAGAATCCTAGTCTTTTAAAGATACGTTATGAAACATTTATGGGCAAAATGGTATCATGTCTGGAGTTTTCTCAAAGTAATAAGGGATTTTATGGGAGGCAGGTGTACATATATAAATATCTAAAAGAGCAGTCATAGATTGTCTGGAAGTGGGGGAATATGCACTGGGCTTACTTCTTACTCTGTCCATTTTTGTGTATGTTTACATCTTCCATCACTGGGAAAAAACTGGCATTTTCTCACTGTTTTTCCTTTTAAAACTATTATATGCTTTTCTCTTAACTTGGTTTGTTTCTTTTGGTATGCACTTATACCAAATTCTTCATTATGAAAATTCTAACTATACATAGTTCAAATGTTCCTTAAAACAATAAGAAAAATTCTTATCAAAACAGACTTTTTTGTATGACCCCATCAGTAGCCCCATATTACCAGCAATTTTAAACAATTTCACAAGTTCCACTACAGCAAAATATTTCCTTCAGACCCTTCAGTAGAACTTTTCCATATTTAAAATGCTTATACAAGTAAAATTCCCTTATAACAAATTCCACAAAGCCCTTTCTTTCTGAATATTTTAGAGATCTCATTGGCTGACTGTGAATCTTGAGATGAAAGATATTGTTTCTGTCAGTCAGGTCTACTGATATAACAGAGAAGGAGTCCTCAGGTCAGAATACTTGCATCCTCCCATCCTAGGCCTTATATTTACTGGATATGATTTTATAACCTACTGTTTGGCTTCAGTGTTTGAGGAACTTAAGTGGCTTAGAGTTTGATTTGGGAAAGATTTGATCATTGCATAAATTTCATTAAGCACTAAACTAAGCTCCCTTTTCCCAGCCTGTAATACAACAAACAACATCCAGTTTTAATTTTAAAGGCTCTTACATGAACCAAAACAAAGACAGCATGTTTGCAAATTCATTTGTTGTATAAACATTTCATAACATGTCAAGAAGATTCTCTTACAGGGGGATAGTTTCCTAGTTGGGGAAATAGCTTTATTGAGACATCCCATCCTGGCATGCATCTTGGAGGCACTGATTTGACCCATTTAGGAAAAACGAAGACTGAAAGTCCCTGGTTTTCATATGCTAGTTGTGTTGCTTTGTTTTTCATTCCTATGATCTTTCTTTCTCTCCAGAGATAGACTACTGTGCCTCACCTAATCATGGATGTCAGCATGAGTGTGTGAACACTGCTGATTCCTATTCCTGCCGCTGTCTGAAAGGCTTTATCCTGAATCCAGACAAGAAAACCTGCAGAAGTGAGTCACACTGGGCACGGAGAAGGGCTGTTGCACCCAATGCTCCTCTGATTAGATTTCCTTTCCTGGCAAATCTTTAGCAAACTGTACTCAGTGTTTGTGTTTGCTAACATTGTTTCATCTTTAGCTTACCTTTTGGTTCACTAGATCCTTTTGTGGGGACTTTCTTAGAGATCAAGTAGATTGGGTTCAGCCATTGGATTTGTTTAACAAAGTCAGTGTCCAAACTAAACTTTCCATCTCCTCCTTATGCACAATGTATATTTGGGACTTTGAGAAAGAAAAGAATGGGCCCAGAAATGGGATGTCAGAGGAGCTGGTTTCTTACAGCCCTACAAGATAAGATACTTGCTTGTTACCAAGAGTGGGAACCTTGCAGCTCTATCCTCTTTGATAGGAAGGAAGATGACAAATAAGAGTCTAGGGCATCCCAGCAGCACTCAAGGGACACAGAGCATCTGCAGGATGATAGTGACACTGTGCCAAATGACTTAAATGCCTGCTGTGTAGCACGTTGAAGGGCATGAGAGGAAAGGGGCACATCTAGTGCCTGGACCCCAGACTGGATCTCTTTAAACCAGACAATTCCTGGGATACACCAGAATGGAAGGCCCATAGGACTCAGCTGGCGGCCCTTTCTTGCCACCAAATCCTCACAGCTCAGAGTGCCTGGCACACAAAGATGCAGTGCATCTTTGAATGAGTGAATGAGTAAAGGAATTGCTCTGAGATGTGTCATCCTGGAGACACTGCAACTATTATTTGAATTCCCCAATCTTGTTAAAAAGGTGGCCTTTTGAAGGCATGCAAGTTGTGAATTTTTCCAAAAAGCCTTCCTATAGTCAGTCTACCCTTAAGCACAATGAGTTGTTTGTGGTCTCCTGACCATGTATTTGCAGAAGTCTCTGGAGCCTGCACTTAGGGATGTATTTTCCTACCTGCTGCTTCCCCCACTTCTTCCTGGGGATGCGTACAGCAGTGTTCTGTGTGGCAGGGCAGCGTTTCCAAAGCTTTCACCATCTGCCTCTTCTGAACCACACTGTGGACTGTCTGCATAACTATCCAGACAAGTCACATTCTTCTCATAGCACACGTTCTTCTAAAAAGTGTTAAACCTTGTAAGGTGGCAGATGGTTACAAGAGGATCTACTCTCTTAGAAAAGATAATTCCCGCTGCCCTGCCTGGATACAAACCCTGGAAACATGCAAGCATTCAATGGGAGCTCAAATTGAGAGCATTCAAAATGTGAAGACAATTAAATGAAATATTTTCCATTAGACCACACAGGCCTACCATTTGTTGGAGGGCCAGCAATCTGGACTGGCCACTCCCCTCCATGCTATTGATACGTTCTTCTAGTTGTGAGTGTGTCAGGAGCTGACCGTACCAGGAAAAAAATCAGTCGTAGGTGGATTCAGATTTGTGGACTCAGAGCTTTTATGTGGGAGTTAATTAAATCTGATTCAATTCAGACACTTGCTATGGTTGCCAGCTTCCTGTGTGTTACTAATGGAAGGGAAAGGAAACAAGCTACGTATGCAGAGACTTTGCTAGTGGTTTAGATTCCTCAACCTTTGTAACTCCCTCCACACCCTGCCCGAGAGGCACTTGAGGAAGAGAAGCTTCCAAGGCAGTGTACACATCATTATCAAGGAAGGATGGAGGCTGAGAGTGGTAGGTTAGCCATCTAAATTGGTAAACATGGGCCTGTTTTATGCGGGGGCACTGACCAGAGTCCTTAACGCTCGTTAGTGTAAATTCAGTGGTGATAGCTCCATTTCCTCTAAACCAAGTGCCCTACTTTTTCATCCAGAAAAAATGAATTTATTCCTAAAGGCCAGTGTTCTCATCAGGCCTTCTCCCATGTCCTGCCTCACTGTTACATTTTCCACTGTCTTTGCTGTGAGCCCAGCCCTGGACTCCTGAGGTCAGCCTCTTGGAGCCTGACTTAAAGATTGCACTCTGTGGGTCGGTCAATCATAGCAGACAAATGGAGACGGAAGTGAGTGCTCACGGTCTCTCCGGAGCATTACATGGCAGAGGGAAGGGAAGCAATTGGGCTTAAAATCTGGGGTTTCTTAGGAGGAGTCTGAGTTCTTTCAAGAGATCTGAGCATTACAAATGTTGAGCTCAAGGCACAGCCATTTACATGTAATAAGAGGTTGATGGATGTGAGCTGTTTTCAAATCTAATAGGAAATCCATGTGTCAAAGGAATTTGATGTCATCTAATTAAACTGGAAAAAAATTCAAGGCAGCATTCTACTGAAGAAAAGATTCTTCCTCATTTGGTCTTCTTCCTCATCTGGGCTCAGTTTGTTCTCCTGGAGAGTGCTATCATCGATTTGAGATGTTAGTTATGAAGGCGGCAGTGCACAGCACAGAAACGGGGCTGGCCTGCTATCTAGGTGGAGCCCAGAGCTGAATCAGATGTGGGTGTGACTTGGGCGATGGGCTCCGGGATTCCTGATTCTTGTACTGTGGTGGGCTCCCCATAACTGGAGACAGCACACTGAAAAGCCAGTGTGAAGCGTCCAGGTTGGACAGAGCCAGGAGATATGAGGTAGAGTCTGAGCACTGTCACTTTTATCAGCTGTGTCACCTTAGGTCAGCCATTTTCTGCTTCTTTGGACTTGGATTTCCTAAATGAAGGAACTGGACTCTCTGCCTCAATGTATTTTAACCTGTCCAGTTTTTTTGAGACTTACTTTCTGCGCGATTCAGCTGGCATTATAACTTGTCTCCTGAGGTCACTAATTTCCCATGTTTTCAGTCTTACCTTCTGAGCTAGGTCTCCAGCTCTTTTGTGAATTCACCTACATTAAAAGCCAAGTGAATGCACACCTGTAATCCCAGCTACTTGGGAGGCAAAGGCAGTGTGCTTGAGGTCAGCCCAGGCAAAGTTAGCTAGATCCTGCCTCAAAAGCAAACTAAAAGCAAAAGAACTGGGACCTGACTCAAGTGGTAGAGCACTTGCCTCGCGATCTTGAGGCCCCAGGTCCAATCCCTAGTACTGCAAAAAACAAAAAGGTCTTAATTTGTCACTTGACAGTTGTGTCATCTTACCTCAGGATTTACTGGACACACTGGGCCTTAGCAGATAAAGTTACATACATCTAAGGCTGGCCTGTGTGTACCACCTCACAGTTTACAAGGTTCACACACCAGATGTGGAGTACGTAGGAAGCACTCAATAAATACGCATTGAATGAATAAATTAGCAAATTAACGTGTACCACACACATGAATCATGAGTTCAAGGCCAGCCTACATTATATAGTGGGACCCTGTTTCCAAAAAACATTATTTAAAATAGTATTTATTTATTCAAATTGACAAAGTATTATATATATATTGAAATAGACATGCTTTGCAATATGTACATGTAACTTTAAAAGACAACGCTGGCTTTTTTTATTGTGGTAAAATACATGTAACATAAAATTTCCCATCTTAACCATTTTTAGCCAGCTCAGTGGAGTAATTATATTCATATTATTATACAACCATCACCACCTTAAATCTCCAGAAATTTTTATTCTTCCAAATTCTATCACCATATACTTATCAAACATTAATTCTTCCTCTTTTCATCCCCCAGCTACCCTTGGTTTACTTTCTGCCTCTAAAAATTTGACTATCTCTGGTACCTCATCTGCATGAAATCAGATAATATTTATCCTTCTGTGGCTGGCTTATATCAGTACCATAAATTCTTCAAGGTTCAACCACTTGCAGCCTTTATCAGAATTTCCTTTTTAAGACTGAATAATATTCTGTTGCATAGCTATCTCACATTTTGTTTAGCTGTTCATCGATCAGTACACACTTGGGTTGACTGTTTTGAATAATGCTGCTATGAACTTAGCTTTAAATACCTAGAAGTAGAATTTCTAGATCATGTAAATTCAGTATTTAATTTTTTGAGGAAGTATCATAATTTTTCCTGAGCACTGAATGCTGGCTTTTGAAGACAAGTTTAATGAAGACAATTTCCCCTTTCCCTGATGTGGTGATCAAGGATTCCTCCAAACCCTATACTACACAATCCCTGACTGTGGGCCTTCACGTTCTGTGTGTCTGTCTGTGTGTGTGTGTGTATGTAGCAATATTTGGTTTCTCAATGGAAGGTCTTTGCCTATTCCCTGCCACTCAGTTATGCCATGCAACAGGTGAGATTGTTGATGAATGAGTCCTGGACAGATGGACTGAAACTACTCACATCTAATGACATTCCATCTGTACTCGTGCAAAAGGAATCAGAGAGAATGACAAGAGTCCAGGACATGAGAAGGTGACATGTCTTCTGGCTACCCTTGCATGTCCTTTGTGGCATGGATTTCTTTTATGTGCTTAGTCTGCAGCCATTCCAGGGTCCCAAGTAAGCTTCTCTATGTCTTTTTTGACCAAAACCAGGGCATCTTCCCACCCTAGGCCAGTCCCTGTCAAAGGAGAGCAAGATTGCCAGGTTGGCTTAGACCAGCCGTGATTCATGCTTTGGGGGCTGCAGGGTAATGGTTGTTGGCAAGACAACCAACAGTATCTGCCGCATTCCCAGAAAAAGAACAATGCTACGCAATTAGGCTGGTCCAGCCCAGCCTACGAAGTCAGTGATGACCCATCCCCCCCCAGCCCCAATCTCTTAAGGCCCTCTCTACACTCATTTTATGTCCTTTTACTGTTCTGTACTCCCCAGTAACCTGCTGTGCATGGGGTCTGTGGTTTTAGCGTTTTCTATAAGGAAATGAATTACTCATTGCCTGTTGGTTAGGAGGCAGCTCCGTCTACTGGCAGAAACCTGGATTGGAGTGGGGATGAACTTACTACAGGAGAGAATGCAGTAACCTGGGGCAATGACAGAGATGTCTTGTCCAGTTTATGATACGGATGCTGTCATGATCTGAGTAAGATTAAGTAAGCGTTTGGATCCTTCTTAATGTAACTGACCTTTCCTGACTCCCATAAATAACTGGGCATTTTTGCAAGATCAGCTTTTATTTAATCTGCCTCATGCTAGCCGATGTTGTAAGGACAGAAGCTCCCTACATGCTTTGAGCCCCAGTGATGAGGTTAACTCAAGTAAGAGACTGATTGGATTTTCTGAGCTGTTCTGTCTTTCTTGGAAGGGACGGGGCTGGGAAGTGTGGCTCTCAGCTCCTTGTCCATCAACTTAACTCAGCTCAGCCTTGATTTGGTCTTGGGCCATCAAAGGCGAATGAAACCAATGGTAGAGAATCCAGGGGCTCACTGCAGGTCCTATATTCAATCAAGATCCCAGAGAGCAGATGCTCTTTACTCTGTGTCCTAAAGTACACCTGTCTCCCCTTTCCACTGCAAAATCTTCTTCAAGGCCTTGTCTTGCAACACTACCGCCTCCAGCCACCAAGTTAGAGCCTTCAGTGCACCATCCTGTGGCTTGCAAGGCCCTGCATGACTAGCCCCCTTTCCTGCACAGCCTCTGATGTGCCCCTCACCCTCATCCCTCATGCTTGTTGATCCTGAGTCCTTACTTGATACTCCCATTGCCCCTCTGCTTAACTCCTCTCCTCCTTAAGGCCTCCACATCACCTGTGTCCAGCTGAGAGCCTGGCACTTGTCTGGTGAATAAATGAATGAATGGTCAGTTTCTGGCTTGCCTCAGAGGCAGCACCCTCCAGCTGTCTCTGTGAGGTTGTGGGATTCCTGGGGTGGTGGGTTGGACTGGGGGAGCTGCCGTCACAGTCCTGGGAAGCCCCGAGTCTAAAGGAGGGTCTGCCTTTCTCTCCTCAGGGATCAACTACTGTGCACTGAGCAAACCAGGCTGTGAGCATGAATGTGTCAACACAGAGGAGAGCCATCACTGCCGCTGCCACCAGGGTTACATTCTGGACCCCAACGGAAAGACCTGTAGCCGTGAGTGTGTCCCAGGGGCGTGGGTGCTGACAAAGATCACACTGGTCCTCAGGCTTGCCAGCAACCAGGCCCTTCCAGGTTTCCCATAGACCTGATGGTCCAACATGTATAAACTTCTTTGCCTCAGTTTCATCGTCCGTAAAATGGGACTGATATTATACCTACTTCATAGTTGGGTTGTTAAGGATTAAAAGAGTCAGTGCATGCTGGGTTTAGTAGTGCATGGCTATAATCCCAGCATTCAGAAAGCTGAGGCAGAAGGATCAAAAATTCAAGGCAGCATGGGTTACATTGTGAGGCCCTGTCTCAAAAAAACCCATCATAAATAAATAAAAATAAAAGAATCAATATGTGTAAAATACTTACAAGCAGCACAATCCTCAATAAATGTTTGCTGTTGTTCTTTGCTATTAAAAGCCTTTACTGACTCAGACAGGCTCGAATTCAAATCTAAGCTTTGCCAAATTCTCCATGTTTGACTTTGGGCAAGTTGTGTTAACTTCCCATCTTTTTTTAAAAAGTGAAGATGATAGTAATAGTACGGTTATGGGAAATAATTGAGACCACTTCAATCTCTTGGTCTAGTGCCTGGTGCAAGGCAAACAGCCAACCAAAGTTAATAGTTCATACCATGGGGCCTGTGAAAGTGGCTAGTATCCATGAGGCTGGATGGGATCAACCTCACAAAGCAACAGGCTACCCAGGCTGATCTGAGGGCAGAGCCAAGAAACATGGGACTTTTGTGAAGCCTTTTCTTAATTTTGTGTCAGAGCCACAACAAAGCTCCATTTGGTGATGTAAATGTATGGGAACTTGCTGGCCTTGCCAGCTGGACACTCCTGTCACTTTTTATGAGGCACAGTCTCCACTAGTGGGGGCCAGCATGGGTGGGAGCACATGGGCTGTGGTGGATCCTTGTGGCCCTGGCACGCTGAAAGCTGGGCTCAGTGACATGGGCCATGTAGAAGGGTCCCTTTGTATGGTTTTCCACCCAGCATGCCACACATCTCCTCCTGTTTGGAGACAGAGATAGATTGTGAATGAGAACAGTGCAGCTGTTGAACATTTGGACCCTAAACTGCCAGGAGGGGAAGTTTCACTGCTGAAGTATGAGGTCTAAAGCCAGCTTCAGGAAAACTTGTCCTCTTTCAATTTTCAGAGGGAACAAAGTACCTCAGTTGGTCTTTTTTAGGACTGATTTCAGAGGCCAAAGGGCATTTGAACGAGGAAGTTGAGGCAGAAGTCAGTGCTCTGTTGTGCATTTGCCTCTGGTGTCTCTGGGTCCTTAGGAGAAGTAAGCAGGAAGCAGGAATCTTCCGTTCAACAGGAGATAAATGTTCATGATGAATCTGTGCAAATCCTACCTTTGTCTAGGAGTGTGGTGTCTCCCAGATGCTGGCCTTGGCAGGAATCCTGGGACAGGCTGAACATGATGTGGCTGAACCCACCTTGGCCATCAGGGGCCAGGGCCTGCCTGCCTCTCTGAGCATGCCTTAGGAAACCTAAAAGAGCTCAAAAGAGGGGCCAGAGGGCACGGAGACCCTCTTTGCTCTCTGGGATCTAGTCAACTCTTAGAAAATATAAGCCAAGCCATTTCTGTCTAGGAGTCATTAGGGAAAACCATGGTCTTCCTCGACCCTTGAGGGCTCAGGGAGCCCCAGGCCATAATGACAGCAAGTCCTTTTAAGGTGGTCTCTGTGCAGCCACTACTGTGAGCACTTTTCATGCACCAACTATCTTAAGTTTCCCAACAGAACTATGAGGCATCTTCATTCTTATCCTAGTTAGAGGAGAAACTGTGACGCAAAAAATAAAGTCACTTTCCAGAGGTTCCATGACTTGTAAATGGCATAACCAGGATGTGAACATGGAAGGAAGTGGGGCTCCTGAGCCCCTGCAAATGTTTGCAGTAGGTGCATCTGCCGGTGGAATGTTCTGGAAGGCACTGGTCCCAGGCCCTGCAGGAGTGAAGAGGCGCACTTGGTGGCCCCACACAGGGCCTTCAGTGTCTGTCTAATCTGGGGGTGCTCTTTCTCCATTCAGGAGGTCTGGGAGGCAGCCCGCAGAGCTGTCTGTGGGAACTGTCCACCACAGCTGTGTGTTCACTGGACTTCAGCCCTTGCGGCCCAGGGACCAGCTGTGCAGTGTTCTGGTGCCAGGATGGGCCACACAGGCAGGCCTGGGCTTTTGTTTGTTTTCTGAATCTGGATGTCCTGATTAGGAGAAATTTAGAAAATCAATTTTTCTGTTCATTTTCAATAGAAACGAAAGCAAACAATTAATTCGTTCTTAGCACTACTTGATAGTGATGATAATAAACGGTCATTAAATGTTTGCTATACGCCAGCCACTGTCCTCAGAGCTTTACACATATCATCTTCTCTAATCTTTACTATGCTCCTGTCAGAAAGCAATCACCATCATCCCCATTTCTCAAGTCAAGAGACAATGCCACAGAGAGGCCAAGTGACAGCCCACTGTCCACAGCTACGAAGTAGTGGAGGTGGGAGCTAGGCCCAAATGGTTTGATGGCAGAAGTCTCTCTCATAAGCACTGCTCCATCAGCTGTGTGGCTTTGGGCAAATGCATTGCCCTTCCTGGGCCTTGCTTTCCTCTCTGTGAAATGAGAATCACATCAGCTCTCAGCATTTCTCAACATGGAGCTAGACGGCAGATTCTGCACGCCAAGGCCCTGGCCCAGAATGCTGCTGTCATGATCACCAAGGAGGCATTTCTGAGGCTTTGCAGTTGTATGAAATTTACTTTTCAAACAAAGTCATGGGAAGACAAACAAGGAAGACTGGTTTTTCCAGAGAGGCCAGTGGTGCAGAGTAGACTGGAACCTTCCCTGTGGCTCATTTTGCCTCAGAGCAAGCTTAGGTTTTCAATCCCCTTGGCTGGTGGGGCATTGCTCCCTCAGTCCCTTTATGCTCTTATGTGTGTGACCAATGCAGGGGTGGACCACTGTGCACAGCAGGACCATGGCTGTGAGCAGCTATGCCTGAACACGGAGGAATCCTTTGTCTGCCAGTGCTCAGAAGGCTTTGTCATCAATGAAGATCTCAAGACCTGCTCTAGTGAGTCCCTTGCACCTCTCTGGAGAAGGGTTTGCAACAAGAGGGAAATGTGTGGCCACTACAGAGGACAGCAGGTCAGGCCTGTCCCCTTTCCTCTGCCCTTTGCTCTAGTCTAGGGAAATGGCAGGGTAGTCCACTGGGGACTGCATGGCTTCAAGGGTGGCTTGACCATCACTTGTTTCCCATCACCATACCCAGAGGCTTCACTAATGGAGGTCCCGGGGAACTCACTGGCTTTTGGTTTTGCAGGGGTGGACTATTGCCTGCTGAGCAACCATGGTTGTGAATACTCCTGCATCAACACAGACAGATCCTTTGCCTGTCAGTGTCCAGAAGGACATGTGCTTCGCAGCGATGGAAAGACCTGTGCAAGTGAGTCCCAGCAGGTTTGCAGTCCCAGAACAAACAGGACTTGGCACAGGTGTCCTGTGGGTGTGCGTGTGCTGCCACCATGCGCCTGTGCCCTTGTGTCCTCTCTTGGATGTTACTGGGCCTGTGTAAATGATGTGAGTGCATTTCTTAGCCATCAGAGCCCTGGTGATTACTTCTCCTTCTGCCCTTCATCTTCCTTCCCTCAGTCCTTGAAACGGCTTTTCCTATTTCCACAGTCTGCTGCACTGAAATTGAATAGAACCCCAGTTCTTAACCGTGCTGCTACAATTTGATTGTAGTTGTCTCCCCTGAAACTCATGTTGAAATTGGATTACCATTGTGGTGGTTTTGAGAGGTGGAGCCCTTCAGAGGCAATTAAGTAGTTAAGAGAGATGGATGCCTTTCTCAGGAGAGTGGGTTCAGTCTTGAGGGAGTGGTCAGTTATAAGGAGAATGGGTTGTTATAAGGTGGGATCGGCCCTCTCTGTCTCCCCTATTTTGCATACACTCTCTTGTCCTTGGCCTTTTCCACCATGAGATGAAGCGGAACCAGGTCCTCACAGATGCTGACGCTGTGCTCCTGAACTTGCCAATCTCCAAGACCATGAGCGTCCTAAGCCTCTGTCCTTTCTGCTCCTCCTAGAGCAGCATTCTGCTCTATAGCACTAAGACACTAAGAGGGACTCAAACATTCTCTCTGCTCTGCCTCCAGCCAGCAGTCTTGCCATGAATAATAATGCAGGCGGTTTGCTGACTGGCAGCTGGCTGTACACCAAGGCTTTGTGCTAAGCATGTGAGCCATCACACTCTAGGGACAGATGAGGAAACTGCAGCCCAGATTAAGGAAAGAGCCTGAGGTTACCTGTTTGTACACGGGATTCACGTTGCTCTGTGAGACTTCAGGGTCAGTTCTGGGAGGAGGTCTATATGAGCACTTGTGAGATAATCAGATGGGTTAGAATGAACCTCAGAACAGGGCAAAAATCTTCTGCCCCTCCCTGAGCTCATGACCCTTCATCTCACAGCACATGGCCAGGTCAGTAGTAACATTGGCCAGGTACATGTTTCCTTACAGCTGGTCTTAACTCCCGTCTCCTTCTGGCCTTCACCCAAGAATGCTGCTGTGTTTGCTACCTACCCTGCGATCCTACTTCCAGCTGGAGCAAGATAAAGAATTGGGAAGTAGTCATTTGAGAAAAGAGATTATTTTGAAAATAGAGGAAAAGGGCCGTAATTTACCAGCCTTAACCTGCTGGTCATTTTGGTTATAGGGCCAAGTTCCTTGGCCACTGATATAATTGTGGCTGCAGCCTAATTTGATGCACATTTTTATATCATCAGTTCACATGGGCAGAAGAACTGACTGTTTAGCTATATGTCTCTCTAACTATGCTACCTGTGAGAAAGTATTTCCCCAGTTTTGGAGAGATTCTTGGATCTTGGCAAATGGGTTATCCATGTTATCACTTGCTTTTGGCTCCCTGCCCAGCTAGCTGCCTCACATTCTGCTACTATGCCTCATTCTGGAAGGGACTGCGCATTGGGGGTGTGGAAAGAGGGTGGGTGTATCAAATAGCATCTCTTTTGCCTGTCTGCCAAAACAGATGCAAGGTGACTTGTGGGTTTAATTCTCCATTAGCTGAGATTAGCCATGCTCTTCCTTTGTCCTCCTTTTTATTGCGGTAATCAAGAACTGAGTATCAGAGGGTTGCAGAACTTCTAAAATATTCTCACAAACCTTCCAAACACAGTAGCCCCTTCTCCTTCCAATCTCCAACCCCCACCCCCAGCCTTTGCCATTTGAAATGTTGCCTCTGTGAGTATGTAGGTAATGGGACACAGTGATATCATCTATATGAGTAAAGGTTCAACAATTCAATTAAAAGTGAATTTTGGTGCTTATCATGGTTGAGTCTATACGAGAACTTGTGAGAGAATCTGATGGGTTAGAATGAACCTCAGAACAGTACATGAGAGATGCATTTTACCCACCAGAGCTATCCACCAATTGAAGACTTTGTCTGCTCTGAAATGATTCAGTCTGTAATAATGGGCTAGGTTTTCACTGTGGTCAGAGTTAAGTGAGAGTTGGGATGTGTGTTCCCCAGCCCCATGCCAGATGACACAGAGCCAGATAACATGACTGTATCTCTTTGGTAAAGCCTCATGGGCAGTGGCTGGAGACCCGGCTGGGGTCAGTCAGGCCTGACTCAATAATCAGGGTGACCTTAGCCTTTATAGAGGGTGCCTCCTGTTAAAGTCTTGACAGCAGGTGATCTGAAGAGCTCTTCACTCACTTTCCAGAAGTTCTTTGAAGCATGAAGCCCAGGCCCAGGTTCCTTGGTCCCTGGGACAAAGTAGACACTGTAGTATGAAGCCTGTCCTCCCTTCCTCTCAACCTGCCTGCCCCCAGGCTCTGACTACACAGATAGTGTGGGCTCAGGAGGTCAATGAGGTGGTCTCTCCTACCAGTTGCAGCTGAGAGGCTTCCTCCCCTCCATAGAAGTTTCCCTGGCATTGACCTTGTACCAGGGCATCCAGTACAAGAAAGTCTGCAAGCTAGATGTGCCTGCAGAGCACAGCCCACTGATCTGCAGGTTCCTGGAGGTCAGGGATAAGAAGACAGGTCTTATCTGGAATCAGAGATCCAAGGCCTGGCCCATAGGAGATAGTCTATGAAGTGAAATGAATGAGTGAATGGATGGAACCAGCTTTCTTTTGATCCCATAGCCCTGGCACAGGGACTGCTCCCCTGCTCAGTTGTCTTCACTGGCTCTCCACTGACTCCCAGGATAAATTTGCAATTGCACCCCTCCATTTGGCCATGTGCGAGAAGCCATCCTCTACCATGCCAGCTTTGTCCTGGGTCTTCCCCACAGCCTCCATCCTTCAGCCCTAGTGGACTCTATCCCTGCGCCTGCCAGCCTGTCCTGACTCTGCATAGGACACCCTATCCCCAGCCCTGCCTATAGAAACCCAGCCCATCACTAGTGTCACCCCATGCAGAGCTTCCTCCCTCCCCACCTGCTGGGTGCTATGATCCTCCTCTCCCCTCCACTCCCCAGGCTTGGTGGAACCTTTCTGCTTGCTCTCCTGCCCAGCCACACCCTGTGGCTCTCTGCACACATGTGAGAAGTCACACAGCAGGATATAAAGATTATTGAACTGGGAGCCCAAAGACTGGACTTAAGTTTTGTTTCTTCTTGGTACTTGGCTCTTTCTGGGTCTGATTGCTTACCAATAAGCTAGAAATGGTGATTCCTGCCTCTCTGTCTCATCCCTGTGTGGTTCAGGCAGACATACCTGTAGAAGTGCTTTGTGAACTGATAGCGTGCCTTAAACTGAGTACTCTTGTTAGGGTCCCATCTCCCTACCACCAGACTGTCCTGCACTAAAGAGGGGCTTTGGGAGCTCCCTACATTGTGGCCTAGTGACCCATCCCCAGGGCCGGGCCCACAGTCATTTGAGGGGCCCCAGAGATGTACCAACCTGGAAGGGGGCAGATTCAGGAGTCCAAGAGCTGTCCTAGGAGAGACTCTCCCTTCTTCTGGCTGTGGAGGATGCTGACAGGGATCTGAGCCACAAACCTTAAGGCTCCAGGGATCTTGAGGCTATACTCCCAGTTCAGCCACCACAGGCCTCTTTAGGCCTGAGGCCCTAGCTTGGCTTCCTAGGGTTAAGGCAGCCCTGAGCAAGGCTGCTCTGACAAAATCCCATAGACTGACACAGACATGTATTTCTTACAGCTCTGGAGGCTGGAAGTCTGAGACCAGGGTGCTGGCATGGTTAGATTCTGGTGAGGGCTTTCTTCTGACTTATAGCCAGTCAGCCAGCATCTGGCTGTGTCCTTACATGGCAGAAGAGACAGACAGATAGAGACAAAAAGAGTGGGCATGCAAGAGAGTAAATGATACCTCTGGTCTCACTTCTTAAAGCTCATTAATCTTATTAGATCTGGGCCCTACCCTGTCACCTCATCTAAACCTAATCACCTCCCAAAGGCCCCACCTCCAAATACCATCACCTCAGGGATTAGGGTGCAGCATATGACTTGGAGTGTGAGGGACACAATTTAGCTGGTAGCAGGGAGTGAGGTAAAGGGGTCACCTTCACCCTCATGTATATGCTTGATGGAACAGAACATGCATTAGAGACCTTTCCATGACACAGGGAGAAAACTGATGCTCCCAAACTGTCCTGGGGGCCAGCGACAGAGCCAGGACTCGAACCCAGGTCCCCTGACTTCATATCTCTTGCCCAGTGTGGGATCCCCTGAAATAGGACATCTCCATTCATCTGCTTCTCAGTCCATCTGAGAAAAAGCTCACAGAGCAGAAACCATGGGTTGGCTGCTCCTGTTTTGATTATAAGAAAAGCCAGGAAATAGTGTCATGCTGTCAGTCTTTGCTTACCTTCTTGGCAGGCAGCCACCATGGCCATCTCCCTCTGGGGTCAGGCTGGTTTTAATTACCTTGTTTGTGGAGCCCAGACCCAGGGTCACTGCCTGTCACTGCCGCAGAGGTAAAATATATGGAACATATTACCCACAATTGCTGCCTTGCAGACATGTGTGACCCGCCAGATGTCTAATCCAGATATGGGAAGCACAGTCTGTGTCAGTGTATGGGAACCCCCAAAACTTGAGCTACATCCTGACAATTCTAATCATCCCAATCACAAATTCATGATGAGTCTTTGATGAAATGTGTAGCCTGCCTCCTCCTGTGGGAAAGGAGGGGAAGAGATATCTCACTGAGTGGGAAATGTTTTCTTCCTGCTTCCTGAGACTTCTCTCGTGTTCCACCTCGGCAGTGATTTTAATCCAGCCTGTGGGCTGAAGTCTTGGTACTTCCTTAAGCTCTGGGTTCATTCATTCTTGTTCTCTCAAGTACTGACTGTACACCTGAAGTGTGCTTAGTGCTGGCCTTCACCAGATTTGGTTTCTTCTCCAACAGTATTTAAAGCTTTTCCAAGAAGGACAAAATTTAAAAAGACATGTTG